GAATTGAGTTTCGGTTGAAGGGCTATGTTCGTATTATTATTTGTGACTCATAGGAACAAGAATTATCGAATTCTGAGTTCGTATGGTGGAGTTAGAGCCTTTTTAGTGAAAATAAATATTGCTGGTGCAGCAGGATCTGGTGCGCACCTTTAGCGACCAGTTTTGGCACTTTTAGCGACCGAAAATGGCTTTTAGCGACCAGAATCGGGTGTATTAGTGCTGTTCTATTTTTTTTTGCTCATTTTGACGTTTTTTTGGTGAAAGAACACGGCTTGGGGCGATTTTTGAGAAGTGGGCCCGGGGGCCGGGTTTGAGCAATTTCGGGATTCTTGATGTAAATTGGATATTTTTGAGTGGGCTTTGTTCCCTTAGCATATTTTAATAGTTATGTACTGACTGTGGCTAGATTTGGAGCATCCAGAGGTGGATTCGTGAGGGCAAAGGCATCGCGGGCTAGAGTTTGGACCAGATCGAGGTGAGTAATGATTTTAAATGCTGCTCTAAGGGTATGAAACCCCGGATTACACAACGTTCGGCTGTGTTAAGGTGACGTACACGCTAGATGACGAGCGTGGGGTCGTGCACCGTTGGGGATTGTGACTTAGTCCATCCCGAATGACTATTTTTCTGTATATTTGTAGCTAATTGTTTGATATTATTATACTTTGGGCTAAATGCCATATTTGGGCTTCGTGCCAACTGTTTGAACCCTTATGGGATCATTAATGATATTTTCCTCACTGTTTGATTTCATACTTGTGCTCAGTCATGCCATATCTTTCAATGTTTTCAAAACTCAGCTATGTTAATCTGTTTTAGAAACCTTAAATGATGTTTTAACGATATTTTGAGCTGAGCTGCATATTTTACTGTTGCCCGATGGACTTATGAGATTCTGACTAAGTAAGGCCGAGGGCCTGTATTGTGAGGATACTTTTGGTTTGTGCTGCACACCGCAACAGTGATATACTGATTATGATAATGAGGCTGAGGGCCTGAGATTGTACGCCAGAAGGTGGCATGATATTGATATGAGGCCGAGAGCCTGTTTATGATGCCACGAGATGGCTTGATATTGCGCTTGGGCCGTAAGGGGCCCCTCCAGGAGTCTGCACACCCCCAGTGAGCGCGGGTACCCATTGTGATATGAGATATAGCCCGAGGGGCTGGTGTTGTTCTGTGATATTGCCTGAGGGGCTGATACCGATGATTATTGTGCCCGAGGGGCAGTTCTTATGTGTTTACTATTCCTAGTTATTTTCCCTATATATTGTTTAACTGCTTAAGAAGGTGTTTTATGAGATTTCATTATTAAATTGTGTTTACTGATTTTTGTTATGCCTCTGATAGCTAAATGTTGTGTTTAACGTGCTTTTATATCGTTCAGTCTTCATTTATTTTTATTACTCACTGAGTTGGAAGTACTCACTTTACTCCCTACATCTCTGTGTGTAGATTCGGGCGCTACAGGTCCTGCTACTGAGGGTGGATAGTTCCAGCAGATCTTCGGAGGTTTACTAGGTAGCTGCTTGGCGATTCGCAGCCCAGTGCAACCTCCCTCTATCTTATTTCCTTTCTGATTCAGTTATTTAGTAGTGGAGTTGACTTTCAGATTTGTAGTATTGTTTTAGATGCTCATGACTGGTGACACCCCGATGTCGAGCTGTGTTGGTTTTTATTTCCGTAAATTATACTGTTAAATGCTTATTTTGGGATTTTAATTCTGATTAAAGACTTAGTAGTTATTATTTTAATTGCTTAAAGTGAATTTGAGGTGTGTCGGCTGGCCTTTTCTTCACGAGAGGCGCCATCACGACCGGGTTGGGTTTAGGGTCGTGACATAAAGATGCAAACTAAAATACACAAATAAAAGGTAAGAAATATTTTTTGGTATTTTTAATTAAGAAATGCAAATAAAAATGCACAAATAACTAAAACTCATCCAAATATTAGTATTTGTAGGATAATTAGAAGCGGGCAAAAATTAGGTATTCACAGCTGCCCCTCTTTGCTCGAGAACATGAAGAGTTTTCGTGCAAAGAAAAGTGAACGCCATGGCTAATTTTTTCTCACATATCACTCTAATGAAAGCATTTTTTAAAAAAAAGTGACCGAACCTTGCTTCTGAGGTTGCCTACATATCCTTGGTTATAAAGGAATCAGGTCAGTGTAGTTCTGAGAAATTTTGGTAGCTGGGACTACCAGACACTGGAGTTAAGACTACATATGTCTGCAAACTAAGAGTACAAAATTCCTATCTATGTGTCTTCTGGAGTCAAATCTTGATTCTTGATCTGCTCGCTTGTGTTGACCTTAGATTGGATCTTGATGCCTTTTTGAAGAAAAGATTATGGCTCATTCTCGATTGCTTGATTTCCTGCTCAGAACTTGAAAAGATGGATCTTGAGGCGCCGAGTTGATGACACCTTATCGAAAATAACTCCAACTATCTTATGATCAACAATATTCTTTCTTCTGATGAGAACTGAAATTGTAAGCTTTAATCTCTACAATATGTGCTTTACGGTAGGGTCCTACAAGGCCATCAAAGACAAACAAAACGAAAAAAAATTTTTGCCCCAGTCTGGCACTAGGAAAATTTTGTGAGTTATTAGAGAAAGCTGTAAATTATCTAATTCACTGAAAGGAAGACAAAGACAGTAGTATGAACTACTATTTGAAGATATTCCACCACGGGATAGTACCCTGCGTTTACCAAAGGGAATGGAATTAGAGGATGGCACCCTGTATTAATGGAGGGAAACGTAACCGGGGGTTAGCACCTTGTATTATCGAAAAAGAGTGTAATTACGATTTGGTATCCTGTATCACTAGGAAGGGATGTAACCAGGGGTTGGTACCCTGTATTACTAAAGAGAAATGTAACCAGGGGTTGACGCCTTTTATTACTAGGAAGAAATGTAACCAGGGGTTGGATCCTTGTATTACTGATAAAGTGCTGAATCCCTCTACGCGAAAAGGTTCTACCTGAGTTAAGTTATGAAAACAACCTGAGCGAAGAGTACTTCTACCCGACAATATGAGCTGGATCCCCCTAGGCGAAAAGATTCTACCTGAGTTAAGCTACGAAAAACAACCTGAGTGAAGAGTACTTCTACCCGGAACTATGAGCTTGATCCCCCTAGGCGAAAGGATTCTACCTGAGTTAAGCTACGTAAAACAACCTGAGTGGAGAGTACTTCTACCCGGAACTATGAGCTGGATCCCCCTAGGTGAAACGGTTCTACATGAGTTAAGCTACAAAGACGGGAGGTATGAACAATAGTGATGCATGCTGAAAATAAAAGGAAAATGGAGATTTTAAGGAGCTTACGTTTGGTGACATTCGTTCTTTTAGAATTGCCATTCTGCACTGCTTTGTTCCTGCTTCAAACAAAGAAAAATTTGTGAGTTTTCAAAGTGGTGGTTGGTTTGTATTCTTGATGCCCTGAGTAGTTTGATTCACGGCCACTTCTGTCGAAGAACCGATTCTGTCAGCGTGGTACCGAGATGCTCGGCTGCTCTGTATCATTTTCTGGAGACCTTGGCTTTCCAATATTGCCCCCAACTGTTTCATACCCAGATGTCCGTGGTACCGCTACCCTTGTCTCTAAAGCAAGGAAATTTTTCTTTAAAATCAAACTCAGTTGTCTTGCACCCAGTATCAGTTTGTGTCCGTAGTGCTTATCATCTTCTCTCATGAAGCAGGTCTTGCTTAGGCGACCTTTTCAGTTTCTTTGAGACACTTTGTTCGCCTTATCAAATAGATCACAGATGGATTCGTGCCTTCGTCAATGCCATATATGCCCCAAATTGTGCTCGATTATTACGGGGACACTGTAGCCAGTTTTGCAGTCATTTCTTTGCTTTGCTTTTGATGCAGGATTAGACCGAAAGGGACTCAAAGAAAAATTACGAAAAAAACAACAGAATAATAATTGAAAGTGAAAAAGAACTGTGCTTAAACAAAAGGTGTCCCTTTCGTGGAAAAGAATAGGGAGACTTATCTGGAGGTATGTGCCGACTTCAATGAATCATGACATGCATTTTGGACTGGACGCCTGATCCGTCTGAGCTGTCTAATTCTCAAAATCCATGGCAAATGTTCATCTTGAAATTGTCTTGGTTGTGCTCATGCCGGAGTATCGAAGACCCTCATTCGGATAGTAGCCCTTTGCAGGTTTTCGCTAACTAACCTCTCTCATTTCTCTACTAACCGTCGCCTTATGGTGCCCATCTAGGTTTTCACCAATAAGACTCTCTCATTTCTCTGCTCACTGTCGCCTTATAGTGCCCATACGGGTTTTCACCGATAAGACTCTCTCATTTTTTTTACTAAGATACTGCATGTGGGAGGTTGCCCAACGCCCTTGGCATGGGGACTTCAAATATTCTCAAAGATCGATCAAAAGTTCCTAACAGGGAAAGGCGAAAAGAACCTTGAACTGAATTCTTTTGAAACTGTTTATATAGGAAAAACCGTAAAATAAAACAAACTTCTGCCCCATTTTTGGAGTACTAGGAATATGGATTTTTCGTTGTGATGGGACCGAACCCAGGGTAAGGATGCCTACGTATCATTTCGGAATCAGGTCGGACGTAGTTCAATGACTCAGAAGATTTGTTGTTTGACCCTTTTTTTTTGCTTTTACAAGTACACAGGTTCCAGAAACAAAGAAGACAAATACGTCTCAAAAGAGTTAACAAAAGGGTGACACTTAGTTGGAATAGTGAGCAAATGATAGCCTTCGTCATCTCGATCTGAGAAAATCAATGCGTGAAAATTCTACAGTGGGTATATATCACACATAATATCTTTTGACTGCATTTGCATTAATAGTCATGACTGGTACCCGTCCTTCTTCATCTACCAAGTGCAAGGCCCCTTTTGGTAACACTTTCTTGATGATGTAGGGTCCTTGCCAGTTCGGGGCGAACTTTCCTTTAGCTTCTACCTGGTGCGGAAGGATGCATTTCAAAACGAGCTGGGCTACCTCAAACTACCTTGGGCGCATTTTCTTATTGTAAGCGCGTGCCATTCTTTGCTGGTATAACTGGCCGAAACACACTGCTGCTAGCCGTTTTTCATCGATCAACATCAGTTGTTCTAATCGGGTCTTAACCCACTCAGTGTCTTCAATCTCTAATTCCACAATAATTCGAAAAGAGGGAATTTCGACTTCAGCGGGTATTACAGCTTCAGTTCCATATACAAGCAGATACAGAGTTGCAGCAACAGATGTGCGAACAGTCGTGTGGTATCCCAAAAGAGCAAAAGGCAACTTTTCATGCCATTGCCTGGAACCTTGGATCATCTTTCTAAGAATCTTCTTGATGTTCTTGTTCGATGCTTCAACGGCTCCATTGGCTTTTGGCCGATAAGGGGTAGAATGGCGATGCATGATTTTAAATTGTTCGCATACCTCCTTCATCAAATGACTATTTAGATTGGCTGCATT